ACAAACATTACCGCAATTAGAAAGTATATTTTTTAAAAAATGTTAGATTTGTCTAGTGTATTCTTTCCTAGAAATTTTTTTTTTTTTTAAATAACTAATGAGATCTACAAGTCACTGATTGCATATGTAGCAGTCTTCATTTTTTTCTTATAAAATTTGAGCCTTTTAAACATGTATTTTTAAGAAAACAATAAATATATTTTTTAATAATTACTATAATTTATATTAAAAAATAAAAATTTATTTTAAATTTATAAATCATCTAATTAATATTAATAATTTTATTTTTTTATATTAAATTAAAAAACATATATCAATTATACCTTTAGGCTACATAAAATAACAGATAAAAATTAGAAGGAAATTACCCCCCCCCCCCCTTCCTTTTTTCTTGACGATTTTGGGAGGGGAAATTACACAAAAAAAGCATTGGATCCTTTGACTGAGTGAATGGAACACTAGTTGGGTGACCATCTGCCTTTCATGCTAGATTCTGGAAGGGAATTATTAGAAGAGCGTGGACCCCCTAAAATTGACAAGATTGGTTTCCACACGTGTCTACTTTTCTCTATATTTGATTTTGATCAGGATGAGCATTCCGGTAAGTAACCAAAGGATTACTCAGAAAACAAAAAAAAAAAAAGAATTCGATTTGGTTTTAATAATTTTTGAGTTTTATTGTTTTAGTTTTAATATTAATCAAATAAATTTTAATTTGATTTTGATTGAGTCTTTTACCAATTGAAAATTGAAAATGAACCTCTTGAAAGTTGAAATTTGGATAAAAGTGATAAAATATAATAAAATATAAAATATAAAATAATTTATTATTAAAATATTAATTAATATTTATTTAATAAAAACTGAAATTGAATCAATTTTATTAATAACTAAATCAATCGATTTATAAAAATTTTAGTTTATTTTCGATTCTTAAAATTAAAAAAAAAATTAATTATTTTAAAACCAATTTTAATTTCAACCGAAACCGGTTTTTACCCCCTTAGATTTTGATGAGGGAAGCCAAAACCCAATATTAAATAACTTTTCCCTTTTATAATTCTCCTTTCTTCTTTTTTTTTTTTCTTGCCATTCCTTAAACTTTTCAGTGAGTTATTAATTGAGACATCCCCTGCGCCATTATTTACCTGTGTCTATATTTTTCTAAAATATGAGTATATATGAAACGGACCTTCACGTTTAGTGATTTTTTTTAAACTTCAAATATTTAATTTTAGTTGAGTAGGAATTTTACTCTTATTGATGACTTGAATAAATATCTCTTATATCTCAAATTTTTCAATAGTACAAAAAAATATAAAGTATATTTAGAACCTTACTACTATTTATTTTAAAACGATTTACAACTTGAAAATAAAAAAGATCCAAAACCTAAGTTTAGAGCTGAGAAAATACATTTTATTATAGACAAAGCCATTGGACCACGACCTCCTGGGTGCCAATCATACCATTATTTGAACCATAGAATTCCTAAAATATTAAAATTTCCATAACTTTTATACAATAATAACATTAAATATGAAATAAAATTACAATTTTACCAAAAACATAATAAAAATATCTGAGAATTCACAAACACCAAGAAATCAGAGTTCACAGATTGTATTTTCTTTTCCTATATTCTACAGGGATTTTCTGTCTGATGGGTATACCCTACAGCGATTCACAGGAGCACAAAAAAAACAAAATATATTAACGTGAATAGCTATCTTATAATTTAAAATAATTTAAATTATAAAATAAAAAATTTTTAATAAAAAACTTAATATTAAGAGATTTCATTTTTATTTAATAATAATTATTTTATAATTTAAAATAATTTAAATTATAAAATAATTTTTTATATTAATAATAAAAAAAAAAAGTGATGTGGACCGCATAACAACTATCTAAATGTTATATTTACAACATCCAAAACCCAAAAGTATCACACCCAACAATGACCACACATTGTCCAATCAATAGTCATCTCAATCTTTTGAGATGGGCCATTGAAAGGACAATGGGGCCCGTCATAAAGTCAAAAGAAACACCACTAATTCCAAACCCCTGACCTATTCCGAACCCTTTTGTCATTTACATGTTGGGGGTTTGGGCTCACCTCACAGGCCCATACCCAGTCTCCGACCCGCCAAATCACACCTAACCTCTGCAAATCCAACCCTTGAATTCACCAAATCAAACTCCATCCACACGTTCTGCTGATGGTGATGGCCAATCACAAATGCCTCCATCCCCAACAAGTCGGAGTTCCCAAATGTGAAACAATACACCGAATCCCTCCCCCTGACTACCCCCGGTACCCGATATAATAACTTCTCGCCCGATACACTCATCTCCGCTCCGCGAAACATTAAACTGACTCGTGGCAATTCGGGTAAACCCGTCCTAGTTGACTCCACCCGGTAACACAAATCCATTGCTCCCTGAAACACGAAGTTCGGTTCTTCCAACGTTTTTAATATTCCCCTCGTTTGCTGAATGAACTCGGTTTTCAACGCGGTGTAAACCGGACCTAGCAAAAATGTGAATTGGGTGCCTGAGTCAACCATGGTTTGACCTGCCCCGGTATGGTCCGGTTCGAAAGCGGATTTCGGTAGCGGCAGCATTTTTGCTCCAACCTTTATGCCTTCGAGCTGAACCGTATATGCGACCCGGTCAAAGTACGGTAACGGGTCGGATCTTACTACTAATGGGGTGTAATTTATTCCTTTGAGCCACGGGATATTGGCTTCGCCGAGAAGTAAAACGCCGGACGAGTCGAAGCCGGATATGCAGTACGAGAATTTGGGAAAACCCATTTGGTTCACAAAAGATAATGACCCGCGGTTCATGCCCATTAACCCGGTCGTTTTCGCGTCTTCTTCTGAATTCGAACTCAAACCGGAGTCCATGCAGCCGAATATGGTTCTGGGTTGGGCTGAGGATCCGATGACGAAGGTCTCGTAGGCGAGGTTGCCTTCAACGGAGGAAGCATCAGCGTAGGAGAGGATGGCGTGGCATAACTTTTTTGGGTCGCAAGATACTGGATTGGTTAGGTCCCGGGTTTTGGTCCTGCAAACAGGGGAGGAGCAGGGGATGGGTACGTAGGAAGAAGAGGACTGATAGTTAAAGATGGAATTCAAGTTGGGAACTTTTTTGCAGTGGAGCCAAGAGAGCTCGCTTCCAGTGTCGAGCACCATGGTGACTTTCTGCGGCGGAGAACCGACGGAGACAGTTACAGTCAGAGTCACGTTGTGGTGGAAAGGTAGCCTGCTGGTGGAGGATGATGAAAGCTGCAGGCTGGCACGGTGTGGATGTGGTCCTAGCGTTTTCTTCAGAGGCAAAACAAGTGTTTGCTTGGATGGAAAGCAGAGGTTTTGATTGAAAAGAAGAAGGAAAATGGTGAGTTGAAGAAGATAACAGTGAAGGGAGGCCATGTCTGAATGGGTTCTTTTTGGTTTTGGATGTTGCGTTGTGGTGGTGGGGTTGGGGGTAGTAAAGAGGAGGAGGTTCGTGATCCTTTATATACTACTAGGATTGGCCTTTGGAGTGGTTTCTTATATCTAGTTCGTCTTTTTGGGGTTTTCCTTGGATTTTAATTAAGAACATGTACAATTTAACCTCACATATAAACTTTACTGAAAATTCGTTGAGAACATGTACAATTTAACTTCATATATAAACTTTACCGAAAATTCTCGTGTGCGCGTGAGTGTAATTCATGGTAGGTGTTACCTAGGGAAGAAATCTCTGCTGGATTTGCATATTACTTTCTTATAATATGAGTTCAGTACAGATTATTTATGTTGAAGTGAAAGTAGCTTAACTGTATTATTAACCAAA